GTTGCAGGCCAGCAGGGCCTGAGAAAGGGCGGGGGAGGCCGGGCTGCAGGCGGCGGCTCTGGCCGTTCGGCCGAGGTGCGGCAGAAACCAGCTCTCTGCGTCCAGAGAGACTCGTTGCATCTCCTGACTGCCTGGAGGAGGAGGGGTTCACAGCGGCGCAGCAAGAGGCCGCAGACCACTGCCGGTGCGGGGGTAGGGGGTGCTCGGCCAGGCCTGGCACTGACCCTGCACTGCCCCAGCCTCCAGGGGACAGCAGGCCTCTGAGCACGCGGGTCTCGGCCACTCCCTGGGGGCATTATTCTGGCCCTCCCTGGCCCAGGTCTGAACACCGTGTTGGGGGCCCCAGGGCTCGAAGGGGCGCAAGCCCGTGGCAGCGGCCGCTGGGATGGCTTCAGGCCCCTGCCTGACGCTCTTTAGAGGGAAGAGGAACCCTCAGCTCCCTGCAGAGGCGACAGCCTGGCTAGGGCCACCCTTTCCTCCTCTTGTGGAAAGAGATGGGGGTGGGGGACAGAAGAAGCTGGAGGCACTGGGACCCCCACTCGGAAGGGTCGACATTCACCACAGACCCCGGCCTGTTGTTTTAAATAAGAAATTTATTGCAAATATAGAAATTGACTTTCTCCATACAGGAATCTCCGAGTTGAGGAAAACAATTTCGTGCCATTCAGTTAAAACAGGAAATGAGGAGGGAGAGGCAGAGAGAGGGAAGAGAAGATAAATGAAGTTACCCCCCCAAAAGAAGGAAAGGAGCGGGTTCGGCCCCCCGCCCGACCCGGGGAGGCAAGGTCTACACACAGCCAGGCGTCACCGGGTCAGCCCAGGCCGGCCCAGCTCTGCAGACCCAAACAGGGGTCAAGCCCAGCCCGGGGCAGCCTGGGGGAGGGGATGAGTGAGAATGGACCCGGCCCTGCCCAGCCCTGTGCTTGTGCGGCCAGCGGCTGGGGAGGGGCCCCAGGCCCCCCCGCCCCACCCCTCCGGCCCCCCTTCCTCCCCTGCAGCCCGCAGCAGCGAGGGCCACCTGCCACAGTGGGCGTGGCCACAGGGCCCAAACACTGATTCTATCTTAAAGGTGGGGGACACTGGGTCAGCGTGGACGAGAACGGGCCGCTCCTGGCCTCAGGTGGCCCTGGAGCAGCAGTCTCGGCAGCGAGTGTCGGAGTCAGGCGCACCCCAACTTTCACATTGGCCTTGAAGGAAGTTTCAGCCCTACCCCTTAAGCCCACGGGAGCCCAGACCCTTGGGACCTCCCCAGGCCTTGCTCCGTCCACCCGTCACCCCAGAGAGAGGACCCCCCTGCTGCCAGAAAGGGGCTCTGGTGCTGCCGCAGGCCAGGTCCCCCCAGAGCGGAGGGGCTATCCAAGGAGAGCACAGAGACATCGGCCCCTCCAAACCCCACGCACCCCCAGGGCTGGCGGCAGGAGCTCGGTGGCCTGTCCCAGCCGCCACGCAGGGGTGCCAGCCCTCCCCCCTTCACCCTACTTTCAGTTCTACACAGTCCCCACCCCTCGGGGACACCCCACCTTCATGCTTCCCCTTGCCCCGTGCCAGGCTCCCCTCCTGACTCCCCTTCGGCCTGTCTTTAACTGGTTGGGAGACCCCAGAAGACGTCTGTCCTTCCCGCCCTGTGATTCTGTTTCCGCCCGTGTTCAGGAGTGGGGCGAAGGGGCTGTAACACCAGCTGGAAACACGGTGGCCTCCGACAGGCCCACCCTCCGCGGGGCTCATCCCACTCACCCCACCCTGCAACAGTCCTTTGCCCGGACCTGCCCAGACACGGACAGCCTAGCCTGGTCACCGGCAGCCTCCAGGGCCCCCGCGCTGCCCCTGGGGGGCGGGTGCAGAGGCAAGGTGCCCAGAAGGGGGGGCAAGGTGCCTCTCCTGCGGCTGGGAGGAGCTAGCTTGGGACCCCTCAGAAGGGGTCCACACTGGACTAGGCTTCCTTCCCTTTCTGAACCCCACTTTTCGCTTTGGAAGGCCAGACAGAGGGTTAACTCCAACGAGGTTCGGAAGCCCCTGCTCTGGCCCTGGGAGAGAGGGGGCCCATGGGGGCGGCCACTTCCCAGGAACAGGCTCCAGAGATTCCCTGACAGGCAGAGCAGGCCCAGGCACCCCAAGGCTGGGAGGCTCAAGTGGGGTCCCCGCATCTCCTGCAATCGGCTCGCCCACCCTCCAGCAGGTCCCTCCACTCCAGTGCCCCCCTCCTCTCCTCCCTGGCTGTCTGCTCACCCCGCCCGCAGCTGGCCAGACTCCCGGACACCAGCGTTCAGTTTCTTTCGCGAGTATTTTGCCCCCCACCCCCGGGGCAGAATTATCCTGAACAGAAGAGGGAAGGACGTTGGGAGCCACAGCACAGGCCCTTGCCCAGAGCGCCGGGCCTCGCCTGGCAGCTGGTCCCACCTGGCCCGGAGGTCTGGCTTTAGGTTCAGTTCTGCTTCGAAGATGGGTGTGCTGGGGGTGGTGACCCCGGCCCACCCCCGGCGGCCAGACCTGCCCCGGCGGCTGAGATCGGCCTGTGCGCAAAGCCCCTGACGAAGATGGAGTGAGGTTTTTATAGGGGTGGCGGGGGTGGGGAGGCTCTGCTTCTGCCCCCAGTGAGGCCGGACCAGCCACCAGCCGCTTCCTCCCGTGGGCTCCCCCTCGCACCCCCAGCCCCCCATCACGCCCGGGAAGCCCTGTTCTCTTGTGCTCTGCCGTGAGCAGACTGTCCACCCCACCCGGTGGCCATCACCACCAGGCCCCTCCTCTTTGGGGACCCCGACTTCTTCAGCTGCAGAATGGGAGCAAGTGGGGCGCACAGTGCCTTTCCTGCCCTGGCAGAGGGCGATGGGAGGGAGGGGTGGCACTTGTGGACCCCACCTCCAGAAAGGCGGGGTGGGGGTCGAGTGTTTGGTGCACCTGTTTTGGGTCTTTGCAGAGATGGCCCCTCCCCGGTTTCAAGAGCTGCTGGTCAGATCACAACAGAAGGAAGGTGGGAAAGGGGGTGAGGGCGGGCAGGGGAGTCTGGACAAACTGGCACATACACGACAGATGTTTGTTCAGAAAAATACAGTAAAATCGTCATGCAGATAGAACAGGGACTTCGCTTTCCCACACCTTGGCTCCTCTGCCTGCTCCTTCTGTTTTGCCAATGCGGTGTGAGGAGGGGTTGGGGAGCAGGTCTTGGGGACGGGGGAGGTCTGCTCTGCAAATCCATGCTGGCCCCTCCCCTCCACGCCCCAGAAAAAGTCCTTTCTTTGCAAATGTCACCCCCAAAGTGAGCCTCAGGCTCCATCCGTCTCAGTCCGTCTCCCGAGTAGGTGTGAGAGGTGCTCGGTTGAGCCTAATGGCCCCTGGTTTTCCAAGTCCTCCTCCAGACCCGAGCCCCCCCAGGGTCCGGGAGCCCACCCCCAGGGAACAGCACTAGCTTCCCCCGGCCAGAGTCCCCCCCACCCCACCGTACAGGTCTTGATCCCACCCCAGCACCCCACCCTCACCCCCCAGTCACATTCCCCAAATCTCAAGAAACCCAGCTGGGGGACCGGCCAGAGGCTGGGGTATCTGGCAGGGCTGGGGGGCTGAGCTCACCAGGGAGCTTCAGGACAGCGGCATTGCTGGGGACCCCAGCCCGGCCCCCTCCCAGCCACAGGGGGAGGGAAGGCCGGCCGCCCCGGCCCCTCGGCACCCAGAGAGTGTCAAGGCCCCAGCCCTGCGCCCCAGAGCTGGTCCCAGGGGCCCTGCTCTTGAGAGAGGCCTCCTGCAGCCCTGCCTGCACTGAGATTCTCCCCCAGAAGCCCAACGGCCCTAACTGCCAGCTCCTGGTTGCTGTGGCGACAGAGGCTGGCCAGGGCGGGGGAGGGGCCCTGACGCCAGCCTGCTCCCCCTACCCTGGGGGGTGCTCACTGTTTGTGCTTTGTTCAGTGTTGGGTGGGGGTCAGCAAGCGGGGAGCAGCCGTTTCCTCGGAGCGAGGGGCTGGGCCTGGGCCTGGGTGGGAAACCCAGCTGAGCTCTGCTCTGAGAGCCCGCGCCAGGGTCAGGCAGGCGGGGGCCAGACACCGCCGGCCCCCTGCCCCCCCCCATCACAGTCCACTGCTGTCCTTCTGGGAAGAGTAGGGCTCCTGGCGGCCCAGAGAAGCGGGGGCCAGGGCACGGGGCCTGCACCTGAGATGCGGTGGGAGCTGGCCCAGCCCGCTCTCCTCAGACCCCAGGCTGCTTGGAAGACACTGGAAGGGGCTGGTGGGACAGGGTGCTCTCTGCCGCTTCCCTCCAGCGGGGGGCGCCCCTCCCTCCTCTCCTGGATACTGGCGTGGGAATGGGGGTAGATGTCCCCCACCATGATGAATCACAGCTTTGGGGATGCAGCCATGGAGCTTTCTAGAAAGGGAAAGCACCCTCCTGATTCTCAAGTCCCTCCGCCCCAAGGAGACCACCACTCTGGAAGCGGTGGGGGGGGGGGGTACCCAGGGAAGCCTCTGGGGGCAAGAATAGCACTGGGCTGGGAAGTTGGGAGACTGAGACCCTACCCTGCCGTGTGACCCCGGGTTTATCACTTGCTCTCTCCGGGCCTCAGTTTCCCCACCCCTGAAGAAGGCTACGAAGCCCTCGGCCACCCCCGCCCCCTCGCCCGCGGGCTCTCCCCCGAGCCGGGGGACCCCGCCCTGCCCCAGAGGGGTCGCTCCCATCTCTGCCTGGCCTCCTCCTCCCCCAGACCTGTCTTAGTCCCGAGCCCCAGCCCCGCACCCTCTTGGGGCCCCGGCCCGCCGCGCCCCGCCCGGCCCACGCCCCACAGAGCCCTCCCTGGGCTGCACAGTAGACACTGGTGTCGGTATCGTGTGTAAACTTTAAGGAGAACGTGTCTTGGTTTTCCTGTCCGTATTGTCGGGTGGTGGTGTTCACAGTCAGGTGGTGGTCAGGTGTGTGCATGGTGCGTGCGTGCCTGTGTGCGTGTGTGTCGGCCGCGGCCCCGGCCCCAGCGCGCCCCGCCGGCCGCCCGGGCACCCCCCGCGCGCCCGCCCCCTCCGACCTCACCGGCGAGGAGAGGGTCACAGCTTCTGCTGGGCCGAGACCCCCTTCCAGTAATCGAGGATGTCGTGCAGGTCCTCGTCCTTGGCGAACTGGACCTTCTTGCGCAGGGCGTGGCCGGCGGCCATGTACACCTCCTCGCGGTGGTGCTTCTTGTAGGGCCGGAAGCGCTCCCAGATCTTGTGCGTGCTCTCGGACGAGTACTCGGGGCTGGACGAGTAGCCCGAGTAGTAGTGTCTGGGGGAGAGCTGCGAGTAGGCGGAGTCCCTCTTGGAGCGGGCCAGCGGCTTGAGGAAGGACACGCGCTGGCTCAGGCTGTCGGCGCCCTCCTCGTAGTACAGGGCGGGGAAGCTGTGGCGGTGCTCGCTGCAGTGGTAGGCGGGCTTCACCGCCAGGTGCTGGACGCCGCCCCCGCCGCCCGCGGGCACCAGCGGCAGCCGGTCCAGCGGGCTGTTGAGGGGGCTGCCCTTCTCGATGTACTTGGAGTCGGCCTTGACCAGCCCGGCGGCGGCGGGGTGGTCGGGCACGTCCAGGCTGAAGACCTTGGCGCTCTTGATGGAGCCGCTGGACGAGACGCTGCAGGTCTTGCGGGCCACGGCGGCGTCGGCGCTGAGCTGGCGCTGCAGGGGGTGGTGGGAGCTCTCCTTGTAGGGGGGCGACAGGAAGCTGGGCCGCTCCAGCGCCCCCCCCGGGGCGGCGGCCGAGGCGGCGGAGGCGGCCGCCGGGAGGGACTGGCACTCGAAGGCCAGCTCGGGGTCCCCGGCGCCGCCGCCCCCGCCCAGGAAGGAGGCCGAGTCCAGCTTGAGGGCGTCGATGCAGTTGTTGATGATCTGGTTGACCTTGTCCACCTCCTTGGCGATGGTGGAGATCTCCGCCGCCGAGCCCTGGCCGTTCTCCAGGTCCGGGAGCTCGTCCTCGGGCCGGGCCAGGCCGTCGCCGCCCACCCCCGTGCGCACCTCGATGTAGTTGCCCTTGGTGGCCACCTTGGGCGTGTCCAGCCCGGCCTCCAGCCCCTTGGGGGCGGGCAGCTTCTCCCCGATCATGGAGGGGATGGAGGACATGCGGGACACGGCCAGCACGGGCGGCTCGCCCAGCTTCTGCGCGGCGTGGACCACCGAGCCGGCGTCCACGTCGGCCCCGTAGCGCAGCTCCAGGATGGTCTTCTTGACCTTGGCGGACTTCTGCTTCTCCTCCTGCACGCGCCGCCTGCGCAGACAGTAGTAGACGGCCCCCAGCACGATGACCATGCCGAAGAGGCAGCCCAGGATGGTCATGATGTAGTGGGTGGTGGTGGAGGTGCTGGGCGCCAGGTCGCCGGGCACGGGGTCCCGCGTGGTGAAGGTCAGGCAGGTGTGGTTGAAGCGGCGGCTGTTGCGCAGCGAGGTGACGCAGAAGGTGTACTCGGTGTGCGCCCGCAGCTTGTCGAGCGTGACGATCTCCTTCTTGTTCTTGAGCGTCATGACGTCGGAGAAGTAGCTGTTGTTGTACTGCACCAGGACGTACATCTTGCTGTAGGGGTGCGGGATGATGACCACCAGGGTGGCCGAGGTGAAGGTGACCTGGTGCAGCTTGATGGCGGGCCCGGCCGAGGCGTCGGTGGTGGAGGAGGCGGGCGGCTCGGCCGACAGGATCTCGTCGGGGCTGAAGCCCGAGTTCTCGTCGGGCTCCCGCTGGGCGTCGGTGGAGTAGGGCGTGGGGTGGCTGGCGGGCCGGGCGGGCAGCGAGCCGTTGCGGCACTTGGCCTGCAGCACGGTCATGGCGTTGAGGCTGTGGTAGGGCCGGGGCACCAGCAGCGGGTAGCCGGCGAACTCGCGGGGCGACTCGCACTGCAGGCGGTCGTAGTTCTTGGTGACGTTGTTGAAGGCCACCAGCCAGGCCAGGAAGCCGAAGAGGTCGCACTCGCAGTTGAAGGGGTTGCCGGCCAGCTCGCACACCATGAGGCTGGCCAGGCCGGCGAAGGTGGCGCCGTCCAGGCGGCTGAGGCGGTTGGAGGACAGGTCAATGCTGATGAGGCTCGGGCACTCGGAGAAGGCGGCCGGCGTCACCAGCTCGATGAGGTTGTGCTGCACGAAGAGGAACTGCAGCCGGCCCATGCCGCGCAGCATGCCCTCGGTCAGGTTGCTGAGCTTGTTGTAGCCCAGCTGCAGCACCTGCAGGCTCGCCTGGCCCAGGAAGGCGCCGTCCTCGATGTAGGAGATCTCGTTCTTGGTGAGGTTGAGGTCGGTGAGGTTCCCGAAGCGGTTGAGCGAGGAGTAGAGCACGGCCTTGAGCTTGTTCTCGTTGAGCCGCAGGTCGTGCACGGTGCTGTTGATGTGCTGCGGGATGGTCTCGTAGGGCGGCTGGTTCTGGCTGCAGATGGCCAGCCACACGTAGCCCTTGTCGCCCTCGATGAGCCAGCAGTCGGCGCGCACGGCGCCCGGCCGGCACACGCACAGCAGCGCCGCGGCGCACA